TGTATTTAATGTTATGATAGTGAATACCTCAGTTATATTTGTGAAGATATTCCATAATAGAACCCTCTTTCTTTTCTATCTTCTTATAATGCATGTAAAGTTTTAGATCCAATGGAATATTTTCAGAAAGTTAAAGCAACTTAAAAAAGAGGGGTTTGTGACAAAAGTACCTTTTTAGTTTACTTTAGGCTCTTTCTGCTGTGGATAGCAGGAAACCTCTGCCTTTGTTTGTATTTACATTATATGTGTGTTGCCACAATCAAACCTAAAGAAGTGGCCTTCATGAGAAGAACATCAGCATGGAATAAGTGAAAAGACACATTTTGCCAATAAAAACTAACATTTTCAGTAGGTATTTTTGAAAACTACAGGAATGTTTCTATTTTGAGTTCTGCACAGGTTTCTTTTGGCTCTAGTAGTAAATAAGATGCTTGTATTTTTTATCTAATAAATTAATAATATTTCAAGAACAAAATTACACCAAGCTGTAGGGGGCAGCCAACCACCATGCCAGGCCCTTGGCAAAATGGAGCGGGGGCAGCTCAGCACTCCTGGAAGGCAGAATGGGTGGGGCTGAGCAGCCAGCCCTCCACACCACCTGGAGTGTGCCACACCACCCCTTCCCTCCTCTTCCCTCCCTAGCCCTTGGAGCTGCCAAGAGACCACAGCACAGCGCTTCAGCAGCAGCTTAAATGGCCTGAGGTTTCTGGTGATGGCAGCCAGAAACACTTCACAGTTGCTGGGCCCCAGGGTAGTTGCTCCCTTTGCCTCTCTTCCTCCCTCCCTCCCTCCCCGTCAGCGGGCCTGTCCAGATGTACACCCCTCATACAAAACATAAATGACTTATTGTACTGTCCTAGTATGCAAAGTTTGGCTGGATTCTGTAGCTTCTATTTATTACTTTTAAACTTATTTGTTTTGCTTTACAGTGTGGAGGGGCCAACTTTTACACCATCTCATCAACTTCTACCTGTTAGGCATACATACCATCAGCCTTATTCAGCTGCTCCAGGTAACAGCGTAGCACTGTGGTTTTTTGGGACAAAATATTATCTATATTGTTTTGTTGATACTCTTGCAGGCTATCTTTATGCAGAACTCCCCTTGATTTCTGTGGGAGATGCACACATGGATAGCTTATAAGGTTGGGCCTATAACTTCATAATGAGCACATTCTTAAGATCAGAGGTGGGCAATAAGACAGAAGTGGTTTGTCAAGGTTAGCTTAATGCTGGTGTGCCACCGGTGCTTTATTTACCTACACATCCTGTTAACTGTGGATCGCCATTGCTGGGCAATGGGAACTACAAGAAGTGCCGTGGCCTGGGACACTGCTTGCTGCAGCTCCCATTGGTGGGAAACGGCGATCCGCAGACAACAGGAGCAGCAAGTGACTGTACTTGCAGACACGCAGGTAAATAAAGTGCAGGCAGCCTGCTATAGTCTAACCCTAGGCTGCTTCTTGCCTGCCCCTGATTGAAACAATGGGTTTTGTAAAGAAGTTTCTGCTCCAAGTGGAATATGGCTCTCAACAGTTATTTTTAACTTAATATTGTATTAAGCAATAAATTTACCTTTATCTCTTTGAGTGATGGGTATTGTGTGTATATGAGATAATTCATGTATATGATTGTCATACTTTTATTTATTTTAAAATAAAATAATTTTATATAAAAACAAAAAACTCAAAAAATGTGATAGTTTACAGTAGAAATATTTGAAGCAATCAAACCAATTGATTTGCTGAATTAATTTGATACTTGGAAAAATCATTTTAAAATAATTTCCATGAGTTGTAACTTAGTTACATTATATTCTATTTTAATTTCTATTAGGTGTCATTAAAAGGTCCACATCTATGTCTTATGTGGATGGATATGTAGGAACCTGGCCCAAAGAGAAAAGGTAAGACATCATTGCATAGAAGCTACTTTAAGAGATAACTATGGATCAAGCACTGAACAATATTGATCTATAACTTTAAAAAAGCCTTTGTCACGAAACTTTTAAGTAAACCAAATTGTCACCAAGTAAGAGGTAAAGCAATAGCATTGAATAGAAACTAACTAATAGAAAAGTAAGTAGGAATAATTGGTCAATTTTTCAACCTTGTAAGAGCTAACATTGGGGTGCTCCAATATTTCATACTGTAACTAGTGGTTTAAATGTATTTGTCTGCACACAGTATACTGGAAATGCCAATGGAAGTCATTCATATAAAGAGCTAAGTCGGTACTTTTCTGTGGACGAGAAAAGACTGATGAGAGAAAATTTTAGAACAAAATAGAGGGGATATGGTATAAACTCTTACGTTGTAGGTATAAACCAGACTCTAGTTGATAAGTTAGAACAAATTCCTCTTCTGATAATTTCTTCAGCACTTACTTACTGTATGCCGGCTTGTACCTTCCTTTGGTTCACCTGGTGTTGGCTGCTTTCTGAAAGAAAGGATGCTAGATTAGATGGACCACTAATGTGATTCAGTATGACCAGTTCCTATATTCCTAAAATTTTGTAAGTTTATTACAGGTTGGCAGGAATATTTTTTTTATCTCTGAAATTGCCCAAAATGTATAAGCATATTTTTCATATGAAAATACAAGCATTCATGTGTTTATAATTTAACACAAGAAAATAGAATAAACAATAAAAGCATGAGCCGGAATAAGATGTTACGTTCGATTTAATTTTATATTTTCATAATGCTAGCAAATTAAGTTAATTCTATCTTCGTATACATAAAGCACTACAATTTTAAATTTTTCACATGTATGTTTATTTTTTGTATTAAATAATTAATTGTTTAACAGCTTCCTTTATTTTAATTCCATTTAGATCTTCGGTGCATGGAGTTTCATTTGACATCCCTTTTGATAATGAAAACAGCATTAATATATCTACTCCAAACAGAGGAATTACTAGATCTGTTAGTAATGAGGGCCTTATGCTAAATATCAACCGCATGCCCAAACACATTAGGAAAAACCTGTCCTTCAAGCCAGTAAATGGAGAAGAGGAAACACAAGATATTGAAGAAGAGAAGGACATAATATCTCATAATGAACCAAAGGCCAACATGCCTCTTAACATAAATGAAAGGAATGCCAATGAAAACCGCCAATATAAGCTTCCAAATGGAGCTCTGCAAAACAGGGCAGTTATGGATGATTTTGGCAATCAACTTGAGACTCCAAGCATTGAAGAGGCTTTGCAGATAATTCATGATACTGAAAAATCTCCTAATGTTATCCAGCCAGACCAAATTACAAATGGGTTCTTTCTTCATAACCAGGAAATTAGCATCTTGAATTCAAATGTTAAACTAAACCAGCCTAATCCTGATATCATTACAGACACAAAAGTTGCTCTAAGTCCTGTGACTGACAATACTGAAGCGGACACTGGAATACACGTTCCTTCAGAAGATATTCCAGAAACTATGGATGAAGATTCTTCTTTGAGAGATTATACTGTAAGCATGGACTCTGACATGGAAGACCCACCGAAATGCCTTCAAGATTATGATGTACGAGCTAGCAACCACAGGGAGCTATTAAGTCCCTGTCCAAGCTCAATAAGTACCAAATCACAAGCTGGGAGCAGTGCTTCTTCAAGCTCAGGAGTCAAAATGACTAGCTTTGCAGAGCAGAAATTCAGGAAATTGAATAACCCGGATAGTAGAAGTAGTGGAAGCAGTTCTCAGAAAACTACCCCTGAAGGCTCTGAGTTGAATATTCCTCATGTCGTTGCTTGGACTCATATACCTGAGGAAACATCTCTTCCTCAAGGAAGAGACACTACACAATTGCTCGCTTCAGAAATGGTCCATCTTAGGATGAAGCTAGAGGAAAAGAGGAGAGCCATAGAAGCACAGAAGAAGAAAATGGAAGCTGCTTTTACTAAGCAGAGGCAGAAAATGGGAAGGACAGCATTCCTAAATGTAGTGAAAAAGAAAGGTGATGGAATATCACCTCTTCGAGAAGAAGCAGCCGGAGCTGAAGATGAAAAAGTATTCACTGAAAGTAACAGATTGAAAGAAAATGACGCACAAAAACCAGTTGAACAGATTAGTAAGACTAAAGAGGTAATAAAGGAAAGTGCTGAAAATTCTCAGACCAAGTGGTTAAAGTCCCCTAGCATGGCTACGGATGCTGAAAAGCAATGGAATTTAGCAAGCCCCTCAGAGGAAACCTTAAATGAAGGGGATATTTTAGAATACACAAAATCTATTGAAAAGCTAAATGCTTCTCTACATTTTCTACAGCAGGAAATGCAACGCCTGTCCCTTCAGCAAGAGATGCTGATGCAAATGAGGGAGCAGCAGGCCTGGGTTATTTCACCTCCTCAACCTTCACCTCAGAAACAAATTCGGGAGCTTAAATCTTCGAGGCAAACAGGATCAGCGTCTCCCATTGCATCATTTGCTTTGGAATCACCTCGTCCTACTCATCAATCACCACAGTCTTCTAATAGGAAGAATGCCTCTTTTCCTGTAAAAATGCAAAGGACTCCTAGGCCAAATGAACTGAAAATAATACCTTTTAATCGCACTTTGACTGCTCCACGCTCTGTGGATAGTCTTCCTCGTTTGAGAAGATTTTCTCCAAGTCAGGTTCCCATTCAGACTAGATCATTTGTGTGTTTTGGAGATGATGGAGAACGTAATTCTGAACCTCAATCAAAAAGGAATCTTCCGAAAGAAGTCAAATCTACAGAGGATGTAGCAAAAGAGCAACAACAAAAAGGGACTTTGGAAAAATGTGAACAAAAAATGAAGGAAAGGGAGATCAAGCCTTTTGAATCTAAGGTTTCTGAAGTATTATCCCAGCCCATCACAGAAACTGTCTGTCTCACCCCAAATGAAGATCAGCTAAGCCAACCTGGTTTGCCAACAACGATTCCTAAAACAGCTAACCTAATTGAAGTTTCCCTCTCAGATTTGAAACCACCAGAAAAGGCTGAAGTATCTGTTGAGAAATATGAAGGTGAGAGTGATAGAGAACAATTCGAGGATGACCAAAAAGTGTGTTGTGGATTCTTTTTTAAGGTAGGTGAATTAGAACAGTGTATAAGTCTAGACTCTGTTGGATACATTTTAGTTTTTAAAAGGGAGCTTTTTATTTCATAGAGGACTTTTCAGTAACCACTTTCCACTGAGACCAATTGTACATAGTGTTTAAAAGTGTCTGTCAGCCATTGTGACTCCAAGACAATTTGGGATGACATCCTGCCAGCAATTTTCAACAGCTCTTTCAATTCCTAATATCTAAAGGATGTTGGGGGATGTTGTGGTGTGAGAGGGAAATACAAAAGAAACATATTGAATATAGGAACACTTTTTTCTTTTAATACAAGCTTGAGTATCCACACTTTAAATATGTTTTTCATTTCCTTTATCTCATGACAACCAGTTAAATAAGATTTAGGAAATTACTTCTCCTTAGAGTATTCTGAGTATTTTCAGTGTCACATAATATAGGTATAGTTTAAAAGTGAACATTTGTGTACAGCTGGTCCCCGAGTTGTGAACGGTCGAGTTACGACCGTTCACATTTATGACCGAAGCGCTCGTAAATGTAGTCCCCGAGTTACGAACGCGATCCGTGCTTATGAGCAGCACGGTTGCCATATAACTCAATGGGGTCCGAGTTACAAACACTTTGAGTTATGGCCAAGTGTTTGGTCCGTAACTCGTTCGTAACTCGGGGAGAGGCTGTACTAAGATGCATTTTTAAGAGGCAGTTTTAATGCATCCTTCAGAATTTTTCTTGGCATGCACAAAATCTTGCACTACAGTATTTTAAATATCATATATTTAAAGTGATACTGAACTGAGACTCCCCTCACATGGCCCATGAACACAGTTTTAGCATATTTTATTCTCTTTTCATTCATCATTTAAACTGCTCCATGCATGTTACTCCTTGTACCACTATGCAATGCAGAATTTTGCAGAAATTAATGTTCTGCATGCAGAATTTCCTGTCCCATCCCCCCTGACAGAAATGGGCAGCAGTACTGCTGGTAACCACTAGGGGCCATTAGACGCCCAAAATACCCAGCTTGCACATAGAAGACATTTCTGGAAGGATGAGGAGGAAGCTGGAGGGTTCTAGGAAGCTCCTCGCTGGGGACGGTCCCCAGCAGACCACAGGCACCCGGACTGAAGCGGCAGCAGCGGCGGTTCCCCGCGCTTCTGAGGCTTTGCCAGAGCAAAGCCTCAGAAGCGCAGGAACCCGCCCGGTGCCCCTGGTCTGCTGGAGACGGTCTACAGCAGACCAGGGGCACCAGAGCAGCTTACGAACGGGGCTTTCTCGCCCCGGAGCTCGCAGGCAGCAATCCGCTACCTCGACCTCCGGGGCGAGAGCCCCGTTCGTAAGTGCGGATCCAACGTAAGTCGGATCCGCGTAAGTCGGGGACTGCCTGTAATTTTTGTCAGCAACATCATCCTCCTTGGTTGTTGCTCAGACCAACTCCTTTAAATCCCTGCATTGGCTTCCTTTTTCCACTCCATCAAACTTTGTTTCTTGCCCTTCGCTTCAAGGCTGTTCATAACGCTGCACCTCTTTCTACCTACTCTTTTGCACAGTCTTCTACTTTGCTAATGACTCCTGCTTTAAATGCCCATTTTCCCACTTTCACAAGTGTGTCTCTGCTTTCTTCCACACTGGTCGGAGTAACCCACAATTAAATGAAACTTCTGTTAATTTTAAACTCTTGGAAAAGATTCTCTTCCAACACATTGTTCCTTTTTTCCTCTTTGCTATGTGGTATAACATTGTAAAGAATGACAGATGTGATTTTTTTTTTTGACAGAGTGGCACGTATCTCTGTCAATTCTGACTTCCATTTTTGTACCCCATCTTCCATTTTGTGTGCTGATTAACATTCGGTATTAGACCAGCATGACCTTGACAAGGTCAGGCTATTGCGTTGCATTCCAGACAGGTACCCAACCCAGGAAAGGTACTGGATACCGAGTTGAATGTCAATGAATTAAAAAGTTCTGTGACTGCTTCTAGGACCATCAACTTTGTTTGTCTGTTGGCTGTTGACTCAACCCAGTGGAGCAATGAACTCTACACAGGAGCCTGACTGGACATGGGCAGAGGTGTCTTAGTTTGGGCACATGGGTGGAGGGAGAAGGACTGCATTTACTAGTGAAGAGAGTCCTCTGTCAGAAGTGGCACCACCTACTGCCACATGTAAGAAGTGGAGACAGAGCAGGTGAGAGCAGCAAGGGAGGTTTAGGTTGGACTTAGGAAAAACTTCCTAACTGTCAGGGTGGTTAAACACTGGAATAAACTGCCTAGGGTGGTTGTGGGATCTCCATCACTGGAGATATTTAAGAGCAGGTTAGACAGACATCTATCAGGGATGGTCAGACAGTGCTTGACCCTGCTGGGAGGGCACAGGACTGGACTCGATGACCTTTCGAGGACCCTTCTAGTTCTAATGTTCTATGATTTTATGACTTGGCCTAGCCTGAAATTCTGACCATACCTTGGACTTACTGTATGCCATGAATCTTTGAAAAGATCTGTAGTTCTGTAGTCTAGCTCTTTTGAAAGAATACAGTGACTTTGGTAATGGGCAGGTCTACACTACAAGGACAGGTCAATCTAAGCTACGCAATTTGAGTTAGTAACGTAACTCAAATCAAGGGAGTTGAGATCTTATCAAGGAATCCACACTGCAGGGGTGGGGGGGTCAACATTAACGCTCTTCCTCTGTCTTGCGCCTAAGAAATTATAAAATGAAGTTTGAGTAGAAAATTTTCGTTGGCAAGTCTAGCAGTTGTAAACATCATAATACTAGTGACAAGAGAAAAGTGACTATTGGATTTCCAGAATTTTCCATTTTCATATATAAGTAGGATGAATTGGTCTATAAACAGTTTTTGAACAGTTTCAGATGTTAATAAACTTGAACGTTGCTATTATTGGCAAAGTGAGGACCATGCTTCAGATTTTAGAATTAAAACAAAAATACAACCTTTCCATTTATCTTTTGAGAGATTATCTTTCTCTTCACCATAGATTTTGGGCATGTTTTTATTTGCATCAGGGGAACCAGAAGATTTGGGTCCAGATCTTCAGTTAATATAAATTTGCCAGTTTATACCAACTTAGGATCTAAACCCCTCAATTCCTCTGTAAATATGAACTATGTAATTAAAAAGATTATTTACTTATATAGTATTAATCAAACTCTACACTCAAGTATGTATGGAATATTATTCTTTATTCAAGTGTAATTGTGAACAGATATGACAGAATATATCCTTAGTCTTTAACTCACTTTACTAATTCCAGAAGTGCCTGAAATCATTTAGGTAAAAGGTTTAAATAAAGTATTGGGCTCACAATGTGAAAAGGATTTGCTGCAGAAACAAAGAAGGGCTGCCTCATTACATTATTATTAAAATGTTTGTAATTTTAGCCACAACAAAGATTCTCATATATATTATTACCTTGTCTCTTCTTTCTTGTGTTCTAGTTCTGCTTCCAACTGCTGCTTTCGAAGTAAAGTCTCTCTTTCCCTTCTCAACCGTTTCTCCAATAATGCTGCCCGTTTCACTGCCATGTCATTTTCTGCCTTTTGATCATCCTAGCAGCAACAATATTTAGGAAGAAATAGATCAGGCAATATTAAGGTAAATCTGACTGTTCATATGATATACTTCAGCTCACTAAAACAATAATGCTGCCCGTTTCACTGCCATGTCATTTTCTGCCTTTTGATCATCCTAGCAGCAACAATATTTAGGAAGAAATAGATCAGGCAATATTAAGGTAAATCTGACTGTTCATATGATATACTTCAGCTCACTAAAAGTCTACATTTTTTACACTGTGTTGATACCCTCTATTAAATATCTTTATTGAAAACTATCCGATGTCTTCCCCTAGTCTATGGAAAATAAGCCCCCCAAAGCCTAGTAGTACACTTGGAGATTATTTAGCTATGTCAAAGAAGAATTTATACTTCACTTACATCAACAATAAAGATAATGGCTAAAGCGGTGAAACCTATACAGCTCTAACGCCCAACCCACGGCAGTAATACATGGAAACAAATGGCTGCCTTCAGCTTAAGCTATTGGGACCTTTTTATGTGGGCATCCCCAGACAGATCAGTGGCAGCATAACTCTCTGCCCATGAAGACAAAAAACGCTTAAAAGATCTCATGCCATCCAAACAAGTGGAAAAGAATACCAGGGTTGAAGGGGGACAAAGGTGCATTATGAACTTTATCCCTAAATTGATTTAAAAAAACTTGTTATAATTAATCACATATCCTTGTAAGAAAGCTATATAAGAAACTGTAAAATTTATTAACATTCATACAGTGCATTGAACTTGTCAAATGATGCACAGCTAAAGAGACAATCTTGGTTATTTTTATGATGTATTGATGTCCTAGAGATGACTTTCATCATATTTCAGATGTTCCAGATTTTCAGTTCATCACTTGAAAGTGGTTGTCTACTCAAAATTCATGCTCTGAGGTTTGGCATGTAAGCAGAGATCAGTTAGCCAGCAGAATGTAGGTTAGAAAGACTAAGGCATAAAATAGGGCACCAATACCGAAAATGTACCTAACAACTTTATTCAGAGAGTATTCTCACTGAACTCAGGAGTCTGGATCTAAAGCCCTTTGAAGTCAATGGAACAATTTTCATTAAATTTGAAAAGGTTGTGAATCAGGTCCTTAGTGCCTGTTTGCAGGATTGAAACCCAACTGATTATTTCTATACTTACAAAAATCTTAACATTTGCAGAATACGACCAGGAAAAAGAAATAAGAAATAACTCAGTATGATGGCAATTATAAGACACTATTACATGAAACTCAAGAGGTTCAGCAATGAACAGAAGAATTTCATTTTCAGTTAATTGTGGGATGTGAACATGATGACAGTTTTCTATGAGGAGCATAACACTATGCAATACATGAAGCAATCTTTGCTGGCCAATTCAGTATCTTTTGTTAATGCCATGAATTGGTTTCCAGAGAAAGTTAGGGCACACATATGTACTCTTGGGTGTATTGTGAAAAAAAAACTGCGCACACTATAAAATTCTGCTAACTTAATTTGTCAAAATAACATTACATAATCACACCAGTTTCAATTCTTTAAGTTTATTTCAAAATACAGGCAGTCCCCGACTTACGCGGATCCGACTTATGTCGGATCCGCACTTACGAACGGGGCTTTCTCGCCCCGGAGCTCGCAGGCAGCAATCCGCTACCTCGACCTCCGGGGCGAGAAAGCCCCGTTCGTAAGTGCGGATCCGACATAAGTCGGATCCGCGTAAGTCGGGGACTGCCTGTATTTTGAAATAAACTTAAAGAATTGAAACTGGTGTGATTATGTAATGTTATTTTGACAAATTAAGTTAGCAGAATTTTATAGTGTGCGCAGTTTTTTTTTCACAATACACCCAAGAGTACATATGTGTGCCCTAACTTTCTCTGGAAACCAATTCATGGCATTAACAAAAGATACTGAATTGGCCAGCAAAGATTGCTTCATGTATTGCATAGTGTTATGCTCCTCATAGAAAACTGTCATCATGTTCACATCCCACAATTAACTGAAAATGAAATTCTTCTGTTCATTGCTGAACCTCTTGAGTTTCATGTAATAGTGTCTTATAATTGCCATCATACTGAGTTATTTCTTATTTCTTTTTCCTGGTCGTATTCTGCAAATGTTAAGATTTTTGTAAGTATAGAAATAATCAGTTGGGTTTCAATCCTGCAAACAGGCACTAAGGACCTGATTCACAACCTTTTCAAATTTAATGAAAATTGTTCCATTGACTTCAAAGGGCTTTAGATCCAGACTCCTGAGTTCAGTGAGAATACTCTCTGAATAAAGTTGTTAGGTACATTTTCGGTATTGGTGCCCTATTTTATGCCTTAGTCTTTCTAACCTACATTCTGCTGGCTAACTGATCTCTGCTTACATGCCAAACCTCAGAGCATGAATTTTGAGTAGACAACCACTTTCAAGTGATGAACTGAAAATCTGGAACATCTGAAATATGATGAAAGTCATCTCTAGGACATCAATACATCATAAAAATAACCAAGATTGTCTCTTTAGCTGTGCATCATTTGACAAGTTCAATGCACTGTATGAATGTTAATAAATTTTACAGTTTCTTATATAGCTTTCTTACAAGGATATGTGATTAATTATAACAAGTTTTTTTAAATCAATTTAGGGATAAAGTTCATAATGCACCTTTGTCCCCCTTCAACCCTGGTATTCTTTTCCACTTGTTTGGATGGCATGAGATCTTTTAAGCGTTTTTTGTCTTCATGGGCAGAGAGTTATGCTGCCACTGATCTGTCTGGGGATGCCCACATAAAAAGGTCCCAATAGCTTAAGCTGAAGGCAGCCATTTGTTTCCATGTATTACTGCCGTGGGTTGGGCGTTAGAGCTGTATAGGTTTCACCGCTTTAGCCATTATCTTTATTGTTGATGTAAGTGAAGTATAAATTCTTCTTTGACATAGCTAAATAATCTCCAAGTGTACTACTAGGCTTTGGGGGGCTTATTTTCCATAGACTAGGGGAAGACATCGGATAGTTTTCAATAAAGATATTTAATAGAGGGTATCAACACAGTGTAAAAAATGTAGACTTTTAGTGAGCTGAAGTATATCATATGAACAGTCAGATTTACCTTAATATTGCCTGATCTATTTCTTCCTAAATATTGTTGCTGCTAGGATGATCAAAAGGCAGAAAATGACATGGCAGTGAAACGGGCAGCATTATTTACTTCGAAAGCAGCAGTTGGAAGCAGAACTAGAACACAAGAAAGAAGAGACAAGGTAATAATATATATGAGAATCTTTGTTGTGGCTAAAATTACAAACATTTTAATAATAATGTAATGAGGCAGCCCTTCTTTGTTTCTGCAGCAAATCCTTTTCACATTGTGAGCCCAATACTTTATTTAAACCTTTTACCTAAATGATTTTCGAAAGCAGCAGTTGGAAGCAGAACTAGAACACAAGAAAGAAGAGACAAGGTAATAATATATATGAGAATCTTTGTTGTGGCTAAAATTACAAACATTTTAATAATAATGTAATGAGGCAGCCCTTCTTTGTTTCTGCAGCAAATCCTTTTCACATTGTGAGCCCAATACTTTATTTAAACCTTTTACCTAAATGATTTCAGGCACTTCTGGAATTAGTAAAGTGAGTTAAAGACTAAGGATATATTCTGTCATATCTGTTCACAATTACACTTGAATAAAGAATAATATTCCATACATACTTGAGTGTAGAGTTTGATTAATACTATATAAGTAAATAATCTTTTTAATTACATAGTTCATATTTACAGAGGAATTGAGGGGTTTAGATCCTAAGTTGGTATAAACTGGCAAATTTATATTAACTGAAGATCTGGACCCAAATCTTCTGGTTCCCCTGATGCAAATAAAAACATGCCCAAAATCTATGGTGAAGAGAAAGATAATCTCTCAAAAGATAAATGGAAAGGTTGTATTTTTGTTTTAATTCTAAAATCTGAAGCATGGTCCTCACTTTGCCAATAATAGCAACGTTCAAGTTTATTAACATCTGAAACTGTTCAAAAACTGTTTATAGACCAATTCATCCTACTTATATATGAAAATGGAAAATTCTGGAAATCCAATAGTCACTTTTCTCTTGTCACTAGTATTATGATGTTTACAACTGCTAGACTTGCCAACGAAAATTTTCTACTCAAACTTCATTTTATAATTTCTTTGGGCAAAAAAAAGAAGATGAAAGAGCACGTAGAGAATTTATTAAACAAGAATATATGAGACGGAAACAGTTGAAGCTCATGGAAGAAATGGATATTATAATAAAGCCACGCCCACACTCATCTAAACAAAAAAAGCCACGTCCAAAATCTATTCATAGAGATCATATTGAATCACCCAAAACTCCAGTAAAAGGTCCACCAGGTAACAAATATCAATGTAGAAAAAGAGTCTGTTCATGTTAAAACACCAGCTTGACTTGTGGTACTAACCAAAATGTTCAATGATTAGCTTCTCTGGCTAAACTGATACACAGTTTTTGAAGCTGCATGTGACTGAATTGGAAAAAGTAGAATTTACAAATGGAAGTTAAAGATGACAAATGTTGCTCATGTACTTACTATGCATGCATGCATATAAGAACAAACACAAAGATTTGCTAGATGAACACAAAAAGCACTAATGTCTGGCATGATTTTGTGCACACTCATATATGCTTTCTAGCTGCTAACCTCTTCTTTGCACCTGTAGAGCTAAGAAAAAGTAGAAAATTTGAGAGATGTGAGATTAATAAATAAAACGGTGACTATAAGGTAAGACTCTGTAAGCTGCTGCATCATTATAGACAAAAACTAAAGTACAGCTGAAGTTACCTTTATGTTCTGGTGCTTTATATTACTACTTTTCCACTTGCCTGATTTAGTGCATGTGCACTTGTGATCCCTGTGAGAAAAGTGCTATGGAAAAGTGTGGCATGTCATTAATTATTTAATAATGTAGTAAAACCGTTTCTAAGAAATTAACATTTTACACTTAGAAGAAAGTATGCAGTGTCCTCATTTGTGTTTTTAGCAATAAGGTTTCCATATGTTTTGCTGTCACATTATGTATGCTGTGTCATTGTTGGTTATTACCCTCATCTCATTTCAATGCAATTTAAAATGCTCCATGACAATCCATTCAAAATTCTAGTTTATAATGGGAAATTAATTCCACTATCACTAGACTTCACTGATTTTGTAACTGTAATCATCTAATGCCCTTGATTTAGTTATACATTTCACAATAATATTAGCCTCAGCAAACTCCAGATTCAAACAAGTTTCAGTGGTATTGTCTGTAAATATATGGATTTACTGTGTGACAATATGCATGCAGGCATACTGTATACAGGAATTAGAACATTTATCAATTTTCCTCTGCTGGTGCTGTGTCTAATGAACAGACTCTTTGCTATCTGCCTGCGTTTTCATAAATTTTAACTTTGTTTTTATTCAGGTTCACAACTTTGTCGTGTTTTTTCAGTATCTAGTCTTTCATTGGCATCACTGAACACAGGAGACAATGATAGCGTGCAATCAGGCAAGAGAACGCCAAGGTAAATGCAATAATGCCTTTATCTGCTATCGATATGGGAGAGAGTCTGTGTGTCTGTCCATTCAACTGCGATTCTGTTTATTCAAGAACTCCTCTTAAATGGTAACAGCTAGGACCAGCAAATTTGGTATGCAGCTTCCCCTTATCATAAGTTAAAGCAAGGTCGAGTTTGGCTGTGCCAGGACAATGGGATGTGCATGAAGTATGATTGTTTCTCATCAAACAGAAAGGGAGGCAGCAGTGTGGGATGACAGGGGGCTCCTCAGGAGTGGGACTAGAATGCACTGGCTGCTGGGCCCACCCTTGAGACTATGAATAGTCAGTTAACCAATAAGAATTCCTGAGCTTAATCAACTATTCCATTAACTGATATTTAACCTCACTAGACCCGTGTGCCCCCCACACCTCTAGTCCCCTCCTCTGAAGGAACCAAGCAACGTAAGTCTTCTCGTTTAATATAAATTAGTATTTACAACAGAAAAATGGCACCCCACATATGTATTAGAAAGCTTCAAGTACTGAAGTTGTATTCTGACAAGTGATTCTCTTTACTGAGAAACTGATCCCTTACACCAGGGGTCGGCAGTGTTTGGCACACATGCCACAAGTGGCATGCAAGCCGATTTTGAGTGGCGCATACACAGTCTGTGGCTCAAGCTCAGCCCCTCTCCCATCTCCCCCACGCAGCGGGGAACTTGTGCTGCTGTTCCAGCCTGGTGGTCACCGTGCTGCCACGAGGTGCAAAAATAAGCTGATTCCTGCGTGCCAGACCCTTTCAAATGTCCCGAGCAGCTGCACTCAGCTGAGCACGGTGTCTGGCCAGTCACAGGAGCCGGAGGTATAGACACCAAGAAGGCTCAAGCTGCGCTCCTCGCCTCCAACACCCCCCCTTCGAGAGTCAGTCAACAGTTCTTATTTATTGCGGCTCTGTGAGTGATTCGCACGTGCTACAGGCTGCTCCTGATGCCCATTTCCCTTGTTCCAGTGCTTGATGCGCACATGAGGGGAGAGGGGTGTGGGGCAGCCTGCTTGGAACTTCAGCGTGTGGGAGGAAGATATGGGGTTGCTGCCTCCCCTGGGGCTACCTAGGTGGTGGGGATGAGAGCTGCACTCATCCCAAGGCGCAGGGAGCCTCTCTCCCTCCCACCACCACCATCACTGGTTCAACTCCCTCCTACCCTCCCCTGCAGTCAGGCCAGGGCACAAGGGTGGGGTGGGGCAAATGACACCAGGGACGGGCGGGAGCACCTGGCTCCAGCTGGTCCCTGTTCTGCAGGAGGTGTCCACACCCTGCTCTCAGAGGCAGAGCAAGCGTCTTCGTGTGCTGTTCCCTCAGCATGGAGCCATTTGCTCTGCCTCTCTCCGCAAGCTGGTCTGGTAGGGAAGGTTGGTGCTTTCTTCCCCACCCCACCCTACTTTGAAGTAGGAATAAGAGCCTCCGGAAAAGGGCACTTTTTCCGGAGGATCGGGGCCAGTCTAGACGCTCTTTTCCGGCTTTTTTAAAAGCCGGAAAAAAGTGGCGGACATTTTTATTTAAATGCCGCGGGGGATATTTAAATCCCCCGTGGATTTCCCTACGACGACTGCTGAAATTTACATGCCCCTTCCGGAAAAGGGGCCAGTGTAGACGTAGCCCAAGTGTGGTGTGCAGTCCAGAGAACCCCTCCCCCACACCCAGGAGGGCAGCATGGCCCCGGGGCAGGAGGCTTAAATCTTGGCATGCCACTTCAGAAAGGTTGTCAACCCAACATGGTCAGCTGATGAAGAACTTCACAAGTGCTGCTAATTAAGCTGCTTGGGCAGCTGTGAAGAAGTGCAACCAGCACATCCACTGGATGTTTTTAATCTGTGCTCTCTTTAAATCATCTACTTGAGCTTTGGCCTCAACCTGTAGATTCTTTGTTCATATGCTATCAGCTTATATGCCATCGTACTTTTTTATAGGGATTTTTGTTTTCTGTTTTTTTTTTGTTTTGTTTTTTTTGGTGGCTGCACAAATGTAGTCGGGAGCTCAATACCAGAATGTACTGTGAGCTAAAAACCACTTAGAACATAAGAACGGCCATACTAGGTCAGACCAAAGGTCCATATAGCCCAGTATCCTGTCTGCTGACAGTGGCTAATACCAGAAGTCCTTTTCAAAAGAAAGCGCGGCCACCGTTATGCAAATGAAGCAAGGGAAATTTAAATCCCGGCTTCATTTGCAATTTCGATCTGTCCAAGTTACATCCCTCTTTTGAACCCTCTATCTAGCTCTTTTTTGAACCCTGTTAAAGTCCTGGTCTTCACAACATCCTCTGGCAAGGAGTTCCACAGGTTGACTGTGCGCTGAGTGAAGAAAAACTTCCTTTTGTTTGTTTTAAACCCGCTGCTTATTCATTTCATTTGGTGACTCCTAGTTCTTATATTGTGGGAACAAGTAAATAACTTTTCCTTATTCACTTTTTCCACACCAGTCATGATTTTATGGACCTCTATCATATCTCTCTTAGTCTCCTCTTTTCTAAGCTGAAAAGTCCAAGTCTTTTTAATCTCTCTTCATATGGGACCCTTTCCAAACCCCTAAACATTTTTGTTGCCCTTTTCTGAACCTTTTCCAGTGCCAATATATCTCTTTTGAGATGAGGCAACCACATCTGTATGCTGTATTCAAGATGTCGGCGTACCATACCATGGTTTTCTGTAGAGACAATAAGATATTTTTTCGTCTTATTCTCTGTTCGAGGCTATGTCTAGGCTACATCCCTCTTCTGAAAGTGACGTAAATTAGACAGATCGAAATTGCAAATGAAGCCAGGATTTGAATTTCCCACCCTTCGTTTGCATAATAGTGGCTGTGGCTTTTTTTTTTCTTTTTTTTTTTAATGAGGTTTACAGGATCTTTCGAAACAGGGCATTTCTGTCAAAAGATTCCCATCTTGACCGCGAGTTTTTTTCGAAAAGCAGCTTTTTGGGAAAAAAGCCGTGGCAACCATTATGCAAATGAAGTACGGGAAATTCAAATCCTGGCTTCATTTACAATTTCAATATGTCTAATTTACATCCCTTTATCGAAAAAGGGATGTAATTTAGACATACCTACAATGATTCCTAACATTCTATTTGCTTTTTTGACTGCCTCTGCACACTGAGTGGATGTTTTCAGAGAACTATTCACAATGACTCCAAGATCTCTCTCTTGAGTAGTTGAAGCCAAATTAGTCCCCATCATATGGTATGTATAATTAGGATTATTTTTTTTTCAGTGTGCATTACTTTACATTTATCAACATTAAATTTTATTTTCCATTTTGTTGCCGAAGTTCATTTGCCATTTTGTTTCCCAGGTTTTTTGGCAGCAGATTTAAAACAAATAAAAGGAAGTTCTTCTTCATATAGCACATAGTCAACCTGTGGAACTCCTTGCCTTAGGAGGTTGTGAAGGCTAAGACTATAACAAGGTTTAAAAGAGAACTAGATAAATTCATGGAGGTTAAGTCCATTAATGGCTATTATCCAGGATGGGTCAAGAATGGTGTCCCTAGTCTCTGTTTGTCAGAGGGTGGAGATGGATGACAGGAGAGAGATGGGTTGATCATTACCTGTTCGGTTCACTCCTTCTGGGGCACCTGGTATAGGCCACCGTTGTCAGACAGGATACTAAGCTGGATGGACCTTTGGTCTGACCCAGTATGGCGGTTCTTATGTTCACTTAATTTCATTTGCCATTTTGTTGCCCAGTCACTTAGGATATGTCTAGACTACATGCCTCTGGCAACAGAGGCATGTAAATTAGACTACCCGACATAGTCAGTGAAGCCGGGATTTAAATATTCCCGGCTTCATTAAAATAAAAATGGACAGCCAATGCAGTGGGGATTTAAATATCACCGGCTTCATTAAAATAAAAATGTCCGCCAAGCTGTGCCGGCTCATCTGATCATCGGCACAGCGAGGCAGTTAAGATGCGGATCAGTCGACAGGGAACGCCTTTGTCGACCACTCCTGTAAGCCTTGTTTCACGAGGCATAAGGGAGCGGTCGACAAAGGCATTCCCTGTTGACCAATCCGCGTCTTGACTTCTGCGCTGTGCCGACAATCAGCTGAGCCGGCACAGTGCGGCAGACATTTTTATTTTAATGAAGCCGGGGATATTTAACTCCCGGCTTTATTGACTATGTCAAGTAGTCTAATTTACATGCCTCTGGCAACAGAGGCATGTAGTCTAGACATACCCTTAGTTTGGTGAGATCTTATTGAAGTTCTTCACAGTCTGCTTTGGTCTTAACTATCTTGAGCAGTTTGGTATCATCTGCACATTTTACCATCCCACTGTTGACCCCTTTCTTTAGATCATATATAACTAAGTTGAATAGGATAGGTCCCAGGACAGACCTTTGGGGGACCCCACTAGTTACCTGTCTCCCCTCAGAAAACTTACCATTTATTCCTACCCTTTGTTTCCTGTCTTTTAACCAATTATCAGTCCACGAAAGGACCTTCCCTCTTATCCCATGACAACTTAATTTATGTAAGAGCCTTTGGTGGGGGACTTGCTTTCTGGAAATCTAAGTACACTATATCCACTGGATTCCCCTTGTCCACATGTATGTTGGTCCCCTCAAAGAACTCTAGCAGATTAGTAAGGCATGATTTCACTTTACAGAAACCATGTTGACTTTTTCCCCCAACAAATTATATTTATCCATATATGTCTGACAATTTTATTCTTTACTATAGTTTCAACTAATTTGCCCGGTACTGGCATTAGACTTACCCATCTGTAATTGCCAGGATCACCTCTATAGCCCCTTTTAAATATTGGCGTCACGTTAGCTATCTTCCAGTCATTACGTACAGAAGCTGATTTAAAGGTTACAAACCACAGTTAATAATTCTGCAATTTTCCATTTGAGTTCTTTCAGAACTCTTGGGTGAATGCCATCTAGTCCTGGTGACTTGTTACTGTTAAGTTTATCAATTTGTTCCAAAACCTCCTCTAATGACTTCTCAATCTGGGAC